TCGGTGCTCCCGCAGCAGCGCACCTCGGGGTGGAGCTCCCGCCGCCGCCGCGCGCGCGATGCCTTAGCGCCGAACCCCGGCGCATCAGTGCCGTTCCCGCATGGATAACTCACTCCCTTAACTGCCGCTTATCAGATCCTGTTTTCTCCTGCGAGTAGGGGCGGCGCTGTAGGAAAGCTAACTCGGTTAGGGATTCAGTATTATGCGTATGTCATGGGCTTTGCATATAACTGGGCCGCACGGGGCATAATTTCTGTTTACGACTTGGCGATGGCAGTAGGCAGCGAAATGACAAAGTTGACTAGTATAGCCCAGTAACCCTGTACTAGTATGCGCAACTCATTTAGTGCAGAGCCTTTTTGAATTCTGTTTATTACTTATGAAACAGTAGGTGGGTGTTTAGTTATTTGTATGATTCAGTATATTTTATGAATACTTTTTCCCCTCCTGGATGCTGCTTCATACAATTACTTCCTTAGCATGTGCACTGCTGTACTTTTGATAGGTTGCACATGAATCAGTTCTGTTTGCTGTTGGTCATTAGTTAATTGCTACTGCTTTAGTTAGGCAGCAGTGCATGATTCATGGGCTACACTGACGTCTCCTCCGCTGCACAAGTTACGCTGCCATTTAACCAGCCAATGTTTATTCTTTTGTTATAATTAAATATGCTGATTAAATGCACGGTTGATTGTTTTTAGTGTGTGCATTCAGAAATTATTTATGAGCATCAGTGTTGAATTAGAATGGAACCAACGAGAAATTTTGATTTAACACCGCTGTATATTCTCACGATAATTGTGATGATTAATTTAGTACTGCATGGTTACATACTGACCAACGTTGTATGTGGTCATGATTATTTTCCGACCTTTTATCTAAGGCTACTACATATCTTGGGATAATCACAATAATTAATTTGTATGACATGTGATTATATTCTAACAAAAGTTGATTATGATCATGATTTCTAGAATTAATTTCCCAATAAAGATATTTCATTTTGTTCCTTTTCGTTACTGCCCAACGGTGTTGCGAATAAGGATTCTATTAAATTTGACATGTTATTAATCAGACCAATGTAGGATTAATATCATGCATTAAGTTTCCTTATATATGGATATTTTCGTAATTCGTATTTTTGATATCCATGTTATTTATGTTTTATTCAGCTTTGAACCCATCAGTTATTTCTGGGCTCCTGAACTCAATTGAGCACCTCAATGGGACTAACTTTCCTACCTGGAAGGAGCAGATTTTGATTAACCTTGGTGTCATGGACCTTGATTATGCACTTAGGGAAAAAGCTCCAGTTCCTTTGTCCTCTGATGATGAAAACCTTGCTGAGAGAACTAAGGTTTATGAGGCTAATAAGGAGAAGTGGGAGCGCTCCAATCGCTTGTCTATCATGATCATGAAAAGCACAATTACTCTTGGGATTAGGGGAGCAATCCCTGATTCTGAATGTGCTAAGACTTATCTAGCGTCGATGGAGGAGCAATTTAAAGGCTCAACAAAAGTCTACGCTAGTACGTTGATCATGAAAATGCTCACCACTAAGTATGATGGTAAAAGCGGCGTGAGAGAACATATCATGACTATGAATGATATGGCCGCAAAATTAAAGGGCATGGACATGGAGATTTCTGAGGGCTTTCTGGTTCACTTCATTATGACTTCTCTTCCTATGGAGTATGGTCCCTTCAAGATTAATTATAATACTCAGAAGGAGAAGTGGACCATGAGTGAGCTCACATCTATGTGCGTTCAAGAAGAAGAGCGGCTTAAGGTTGAAAGGATAGATTATGCTCATCTTACTTCCATAAACTTAGGGAAAAGAAAGTCTCAGGGTGATGGGAAACCTAAGAAGAAGATGAACTTCTCTAATATTGATGCAAGCAAGCTAGGGAACTCTGGCACCAAGGACATCGCTACAGAGCCTAAGGGTCCTAAGTGTCGTTTCTGCAAGGAAGATGGGCATGTCATGAAAGAATGTGATGGCTTTAAGGCATGGCTTGCTAAGAAGGGTAATGAATCAATTTCCTAAGTTTCGGAATACTTTATTTATTTTCCCCTAAATAAAGATGAGTTGACTCAAGTGCCACTTGCACATTTCGAACTCATTTCAGGGATTCCATTTCGTGAGGACGCTGAAAAAGATGGATCAAAGCCTTAGATTTCCAAGTGGCAAGGAGACTGATGAACAAGGATTAGTATTTCTCCTTAAGTATTGGTGATTGTTCATCCTCCGTCTTAATAATACTCTTATGTTCCTAGCATGAGGGACCTTATTTTGTTTCTCTATGATATGATGGATTTGTTATTTTGCGAACAAATATTGTGTTATTAAGAGTTGTCATGATGGTTCTGGTTGTGTTATCTCTTGTGAATCCTTGATGCATATTATGAGTGCTCATCGAAATGATGACACTATTATTTAAGCCATATTTCGAAGGGGGGAATTAAATACTCTCATTAAGAGACACCTTCATCTACTTGCCTTACCTGATTTAGGCCACACTATTGGTTATATTAAAGTAAATAAGTAAAGAAAACTAATAAATGAGTTCTTTACGGTACTTAGGATTTGGAATTAATACGCCAAAATGAGTTCTATTCCCTATTGGTTATATTACTCTTTTATTACCTTCGTCGCTAATTATTTGCATCAGCCCATGTTCTAGAAGAACAACGTTTTCAATATTTGTTACCCGATGTTGTTCACCACTGTCAAACACTCTTAATCTTTATAGAATGTTTGCACCAGTGGGAGCTATATACAAAAGGGCAATGGAAAACTAAATTTGTTGGGTTCATAGAGGAAATAAGAAGGGAATTACATTTTATGCTAAGATGAGTGGGAGCTAGTACATCACGTTATGTACTTTATGGTACGATACATATAAAATTAGTTTTCCACTACTAAGCCTACTATCTAAGTTGACAACAATGCAATTTTGAATTTTAGCTATGTTGTATACAACCAGGCAAGCCTTGTGGCTTAACAATTTTACCTGGACTTATACTGGTACACTACATAACTAATATTTTTGTGCGATAAGTAATCCACACATTAGTTCACTAGTAGCAACAATTAAGTGAGTATCATGTTGTGAAATATATTGTCGAAGACCAAATATTAAAATTCAGCATATATGTACTAAGTGCATGATAGCTGATCCCCTAACTAAAGGCTTACCACTAATTTTGCTAGCATAAGTATAACTCAAGGCCTCTAATTGTCGCGATAATTATATAAATGAGATCTCAAATTTTGATCTGGACAATAAGAAAGTTTGTTTCGCTAAACAAGTGCACATGATGATTAATAAAGAAACAAACTACTAGGACCATAAGTAGGGAGTATGCCTGCATGCACATACAAACTCCCAACCATGAATAATTATCCGTGTCAAGATGGAGTATTGTGCTTAAGATAATGGGGTTCTAGTAATAACTATTCGATTACTATGAATACATTACCTTGGTATGGTATTTTGTCGAGACATGGACTAATGATGATTAACCATTTGATCAAGTGGGAGAATGTTACAATTATAATGTGATCAAATGGTCAAAATGTTAATTACCACAAGTTAATATGGGCCTATTAATCAATTTCGGGATTAATACCAATTAAATGGCAATTAACAAATCGGGCCCGTGATTGGGGGGGCTGAATTAACGCTAATATAGTTAAGGTCCCACGGTCAAAGCCAACGCATTATATAAGGAGCAGACTTGCACATACGCATCAGTCCATCGCATTAGCCATCGTCTACTCCGAAAATCACTCCTTTTCCAATCAGGAGAGCACGGCTCATTGACGTGAAGACTTTCCATTATTCCGGCGAGGTGCCGGAGACGTTGTTGAGTTCTTCGTCCTCTCTAGACCCGAGATGGTATCACCAAACGGAGGTATAATCAATCTACTGCTCCTAATTTCCGCATCAGATCAAATTGTGTTCATGCATATTAGGTACGATCCCATTAGCAGTTGAATAATCTCAGTAATTATTTCTAACACATGCATGCTGTTAGGATGCATTAATATACATCATAAGGCATGGAACTGTCTTATCTACCAACTTAATATCGATTCATTGCATGTTCCTGAAATTTCTACCTTGAGCAAAGAACCAAGGGGGAAAGTACAGAATATGGTAGTAGTTCTGAATAATCCACTGTCCACTTGACAATGCCCAGAGATGCACCGGGCTCGTACGCCATTGCATTTTTGGTTAGTGATGAACGCCAGTACGCCACTTCCGAAAGAAGCTAATGTAACCGCCAGGAAGAAGAAGATAATGTATCTTCTCGGCAAGGAAGCACGCATTCTCCAGAATGGAAGCCACTCACCGTGATTCAGGCTCTTCTTTCCTTGCAGCGTAACAGCTGCGTGATTCTATTACACATACGACAGCTCGCACCGGGTCATGCTACTGCAAATAGGAACACTGCATCGCATGTACGCAACTGAAGCCTCTCAGCAGTTATGAACTCATGGACAGAATGAAGCAATTCCACTCAGTGAGTCCGATGCCAACCAAATCAACCGCACAAGTCCTCTCAGATAGATTATTGGAATGAACAGTACTAGCATTGTGAGTTTTGTTTCAGAAATTCACTGCAAAAACAACTGGCTGATAAAGTGACAGGCTTGGTGAATTGAACCGATGCATTCTTTTCCCGTGAGTTTGGCATTCAACCGTGTGCTTGTTCGTTCGATCAGGTGCTTAATGGTAGCAAACCGTGAGCAATATGAAAAGACACGGTGCGGTGCCTCTGTTTTGAAATTAGCGGTGGGTGGACTCACTTTGCTTTCTCGTTTAGGAACAGAACAGTAGGCATCAAAGCTAAGTAACGCTGACCAACTTCAGCACTCACGACGAGACGAGTCAGACGACGTCGCCTATATAAACAAGCTAGCCTGCACGTCCGTTGAACGTCAAAGTAGCGCCCTGCAGTGCAAAAGCCAAGAAACAAGTAGCGCAGAGACTATGGCTGGCATGGGCGAGCGCCTCGTGATCGGCGCCCTGCTGGCCGCCGCCTTCCTGGCGGCACCGGCGGCGGGCACCACGCTGACCCTGCACAACCTGTGCCCGTACCCCGTGTGGCCGCTGGTGACCCCGAACACGGGCTTCCCCTCCATCTGCGGCAACGACATCCGCCTCGAGGGCAACGGCCACGGGCTCGTCTCCTTCCCCTTCCCGGCGACCTTCTGGTCCGGGCAGTTGGTGGCGCGCACCGGCTGCGCGCCCCCGCCGCGCTGCGAGACGGGGAGCAAGCGGCCCGCGGGCGTGGTGCAGCTGACCGTGCACTCGGCCGAGGGCGCGCCGCGGCCGGACCTGGCGGTGTACAGCGTGAGCCTGGTGGGCGGGTTCAACGTCCCGGTGGTGGTGAGCCCGCAGGTCATCGGCGGCGACGGGCCGTGCCCGGCCCTGGGGTGCGCGGCGGACCTCAACGCCGGGTGCCCGCCGGCGCAGCGCGTGGTGGGCGCGGGCGGCCGCGTCGTCGCGTGCAATGGGCCGCCCGGGTACTTCAAGCAGCGGTGCCCGCTGACGCGAACGACGCCGGTCGACAGGGAGCCCGTGGAGCAGCACTGCTACGCGCCCGGCGAGCTCAAGGTCGTCTTCTGCCAGCCAGCAATGGTCGACGTCGACGCCGACGCGGCCGCACAGCCGGATGTTGTCGTCGCCGAGAACTAGGTAGCCGGCCATTAACGAGTGATGTTGAGACACGTATAAGGTGTAGTGAAAATAAGGATGGCACGTATCATGTGTGCCGCCCGGACGTGTGCCCCTGAGATGCATATGATATCGTCGTAATGGAATCGTCAATGATCCGTTATTATCGTACACACCCGTTCTTCGCGTGCATGTTTGTGGACAAGTAGCGCTGCGCTCCACCGTTGTACACTTGTGAGCGTTCGAGCTACTATGTGGAGTGAAATACGTTTTTCTTTTTTCTTTGAGAAGAATAACGAGTCGAGTACAACAAGACAGACGCCCCGCAGAAGAAAGGAAGAAAGAAAAACGAGAGAGAGGCGTGAAAAAAAAATCGAGTTAAAGAGAAGCATGGCCCGTTCGTTCGTTCTCCACGGGGGCTGCACGGTAATGAAATGCTGGGCTGGCATGGCAACGAAAATCTGGGCCTACTACAACCTCGCGATGGGTGGCTTAATCAGCAGGCCCACTGCTAAGATCGACAAAACAAATGTGATTTTTTTTTTGAAGTTCACAAATGTGATTTCTTTGTCTCAAAAAAATACTCCTATGTGATATCTTCTTCTCTTCCCCAAAAAACAAAACTGTGACTATAGAAATTTTTCAAAAAAATGTGTAACTGGAGACGCAGGGAATCGAACCCCGTGCCTCTCGCATGCGCTCTACCATATGAGCTACGTCCCCGTTCTGCATTTAAATTATATTTTATGTTTTAATAAGAATAGGAATGTGCCCTGAAAGGCCGCTGCAGAGGAAAAGAGCAACGCGTTCCATTCGTGTGTGTGGGTATAGACGATCTTTCATTATTCTTCGTGATATTGACCAAATTGATCCTCATTTGCATTTCATGAGAATCATCTTAGTAAAGCAGTAGCTTCAGGTGCTCGATGCGCTTTACTTATCCTGGACTCCTGCTCCAGAAAATGATTGCCTGAATCATGCTCCTTATTGCGGTTCTAACCACCTGTGCTTTGCATGTTTGACCACTTCATACTAGTATTTCGAGACGAAAAAATGCAGAGTGCCGTACTCCTTTCGACCAGAAATACAACACCTACACAACTTTCAAAATCAACAATTTTCCCAATTATATGTGGATTATCTGATACGGAGTCGATACAATTGACAAGCGCTTAAACAGATCATATTTATTTGTATCACACAACCGACATAGGTTTACACATACTGTTGGACAGAGGGAACTAGCGAGTCTTTTTCTCTATGAAAGGATACATCCAGAAATCTTATCCTGATCTTCGAAATTTGGCATGATATTCGTAACTGACACAAACATGGAAAGCATACTTCTGCAGAAAAATAGAATCGTCCAATTTAACTGAGAAACAGGATGACCAGTACAGACCATGGCTCTGAATCTCATCTCTGAATTAATAGGCATCACTCATCTGAATTTCAAGCGATATTTACATACATCACCAAACTTTGCTCAAGAATCTTCAAGAGTTGTGGAATGCAATGCAATGGCAAAATAAGTAAGAGGAAAGATAAGATTCGTAATTTAGTAACGAACTTCAAACATTGATTTCGACTTGAATCCTAGATCTTATAATGATGGTATCAAACACACTACTGCACTGAACTTGCTATTGCGATGGACAATATAATGGTACTGCCCATTTTACAGTACCGCCAGTTTGCCCATATGAGATTTTCTAATCAGTTTCATCGTCCAAATAGTTTTCCCACTGATGGTATTTTACACATCTTCAGGTACCTTAACTGTTCCAAAACCATCACAAAGGGGGAGGAGCATCCTGGTTATAGTAGTAATGAGTAGGTCCATAATAACCAGTTGATCCTTCACTTAGATAGTGAAACAAGGAGAAGGTTACAGTGACATTGAAAATTACAGTGCATTTAGTTTCTTTTCCACAGATCGCAATACCATCGGTAGCCTACAGTAGAAGTAAAATTAACCACCGTGCAGTGTGGAGATGAAGACAACCACGTCCTTATCTTCCAACTCTGCATCAAGGCCTCCACACAACTCCCAGTCGCAGTCATTTATAAGGACAAGAACCCCAGGCCTCCTGCAAGCATAAAGGTTTCAAACCGTGAATCTAATTAAACGGGCTATTACACCGACAAAGCACGCACTGTTCAATAAGAAAAATAACTAAGCAACCTATTCCCAATTTTCCTTAGTGATGATGTACTCCCTCCATTTCTAAATATAATCCCTTTTACAGATTTCAATATGAACTATATACGGGTGTATATAGACGTATTTTAGAGTGTAGATTCACTCATTTTGTTCCGTATGTAGTCCATATTGAAATCTCTAAAAAGCCTTATATTTAGGAACGGAGGGAGTAACATGTAACCCCTTTAGCGGTGGTCGAAGTAACCTATATAGCCCTTCCAAAACATTAGCAAGTAAAAATAACTACGCCATCGTTGAAAAAGGTTTCAGTTTTCGTGAATATTAGATTGATAAATAGCTTAGTCATGTTATCAAAAAGTACAGAAAGGACATGATATTTTTCAACTCCATAGAAATGGTTGAAGCTTCTGCCATGAAGTAGTTGAATCAGCGTGTGTTTGGTTTGTGCCCAAAACGACCACCATAGTGTTTTCGTAATGAGCAGGAATTTAACAATTGGTTGGATTTTTGACCTTTTTTTGTGATAGCTATTGCCGATTGAACTTAGGTCACTTCCTACGTATTACCAAACTTGAGCAACCAAAACACTGCAAACCTCCTAAAGAATCAAAACTTCCACCAAATTATGGCTTCGGTGTCAACGGTTTGGCTCCTACAAACTAGAATCACCACATGCAGTGCAAGTTGCGGTTCCAGATATCATGGCTGGTTTAGGCTGTGTTAGGCATTACAGTGGAATACGATAATCTCACTTTCTCAAACAATTTCTATCTATTTCAGATTTTTTGCTGACAAACATTTCTCTGCTTTCATGGCTATTCTAGTATTCTTCCACAGCAAAGTACTGTATTAATTAAGTTAAGCACAACACTCGTCATCAGCCATAAGCTGAGCCTTAAGAGTCTCCATCTCCACCAATGAAAGTACTCACTAGTTATCGGCATATATTCATTTCCATTTCTTTTTTGAAGTACTCACACTAGTTATTAGTTCTCACGGTTTTCTGTTGGATTTCATCTCCAGCCTACCCCAACTTGCTTGGGACAAAAGGCTTTGTGCTGCTTCTTGACTCACACTAGTTATTACATAGGCACCAGGCTGAAGTGATCAACTAGAGAAGCTGATAGCACAAATCCTGGACAGCAACAAGGTCTCCAGACACTTCTGCCAAAAGGAAAGGCTCCAGCACCTTTGTGCAACAGTACTAACTGAATCATCATGTCGTCTGCACAAGCAAATGAAAAAAGAAGAAGAGAAACCATACACAGAGTCATCCTTGATGAACATCTCTGGCCGCTCCTTGATCAAATTGGACTTCACCCAAGAGAGCAATCCCTTCATAGTGGCCTACAAAAGTACCAAAATTCGACACAACAATGTAAGGTTATAAGGTACCAAACTGAAAGTACGATAAGCAGTCTCTCCTGAGGCATTTGATCAAGCAGCACCTTGTCTTCACCGTCCCTGGGCTGGACATCCACCTTGTGTACCTTGGTGGATTTCTCTAGGAGAAGCTCCAGACCGCCCCTGAAACATCACATCAACCTCGTAAAAACGACAAATGGCAGACTAATAAACACAAAGAGAAAAGCAATCGAATGAAAGAGAGAAGGATTACCCGAATTCAAGAGTGAGATGCATGGCTGAAGGATCAGAAGCGATGCAGATTGATTAGGTTTTAGAATTTCCTTGTTGGAATCAGGCCAAGAGAAGAGTGAAGATAAAAAGGCGGAAGGGGAGAGGGTTGCGGAAAAGGGCAGCCGGTAGTTAAGTTGTTTGAAGCGTCGGAGGCGTGCAAGATTGCAGGATGTGGTTGGCAGCGGAGAGCGGTGTTGTAGTGGAGGGCTTCGGCGGTGGAGGAGGAGGAGCGTATGACGATGTGTGGGCGGCGGCGGCGTGCTCGAGTGCCTGTTCGATTTGGGATTAGGGTAGCTTTATTTTTCAAGAGAAATTAGATTATTATCTAGTACAGCGGCGGGTCCAGGATTAAAGCAAAGCCCGGGCCCAATTTTTTCAACATGTAATAACTTTGGCACTTATAACTACCCCAAAACATATCATGACATATAAAAAAAGACCATATGTGATAACATACAAAATAAATCTCAATTGTTCAATAATTCTAGAATTTAACCTCAGTGCTTAACGATCCAACAAAAGAGATAAAACATGATAAAACTGAAACCCCAGGTGTAGACTCTTCCATTGCCGATGACAATGAAAAATATCTCTTCATCTTCTATTTTTGCAACATGAAATGAATTGACATCAAAATGCTCCAGTTACAAATCAACAATACATATAGCATATAGGCACAGTTGGTTCAAGTTTCTGCTACAACGTGAGATGACTGAATAGTTGGTTCAAGTTTCAATTTAACTTTCTTCATACATAGACAGGGGCTATATATAGATACATGCTCATTGAAAGATTGATTCTTGGAGTCTTGGTTGGTTCGAGTTTCTGCTACAATTCGAATCAGGGGAATAGTCGATTCAAGTTTCAATTAAACACAAAGAAACAGAGCAGGTATTGAAATCTTGAATTGTCTCATAGCTGACAAATCGTAGCATTATATATCTGAGAAAATTACCCTGTCCTTTGGACGGACGGACTGCTGGTTGCGCTGGGAGACGGGGAGTCGAGGAGAGGCCGGAGTAGAGGCTGTAGAGCTGCGGCGGCGTCCGCCTAGAGCAGCACCGGCTGTCCTGAGCAGCGGGGAGGCGGGAGGCGGGGACTGCCGGCTGTCTGGGAACTTGGGGGCCCGGGGGTGGGGGGAAGTCGAGCGACAGGGGGCGGAGCAGTCCCTGGCAGGAGCGTGGGGGCAGTCGCCGGCAGCCGGCGGCGCGGCGCACTGGCAGGTGTCGCGGTCGCCCTCCCTCCGTCCCTCGCTTGCGGGCCAACTGCTGCTAGGTGCCTAGGTCATTCGTCCGTCGTGAGCTCTCGTGGCTTTTTTTTTCCTGAGAAGTCGTGGGCTCTCGTGGTTGAGTGGGCGCCTGGCTATGTCATGGGCTAATCCGTGGCCCATAAGGAAAAAGGCGCACCAGGGCCTGGGGTGTAGCTCCGGACCGCATCTTTGTCTCGCTTATAGCGAGCGTAAGGAAGCGGTAGCGACTAACTTTTTTTTAACATAGTACAATTGAAATTGCTCACATACACAAGCCCCTACGGACGCACGCACACTCTACCCCGACGAGCACCTCTGAGAGACTGAGCCGACATAGCATCTTGAGATTTTATGAAGTCACCACAAGCGTCTCGCGGTCGATAGAAACGTCTCCTCCCACTGAACGAACATCGCTGAAAAGCTGAAATAAATTCAGGAATAATACAAGCATCTATGTCAAGTCAAGGACTTAAACCCTAGTGTGCTGGGATACCGTTGTGCTCCTAATCATCCAATCACATGTTAGTTCGCCGGAGCAACTAACTAAGGGGTACCCCTTGCGAGAGCCTCTCGAGGGTCACTTTTAGTGGGTTGAGAGTGCGTCACTTGGCGCGGTCTCAGCCGTCATCACGTGTCGCGTCCTGTGCACTCCCTCGATTTTTTAGTTTTTTGTATGCATTTTCAGGGTTTACATGGGATTTTTTTCCGGGTTATTTTGGCTTTTCGGTTTTTGTTTGGGTTTTCCTAGGTTTTGAACGAAACAAAGTTCAAAAAATTGCGCGAAAAATATGTTTTTGTCATGGAAGGCACAATTTTTCTTCTCATGACGGCATATATTTGCTTCCTCGAGTTGTGTCTCTCGGAAAGAGAAAAAAAAGTGTTTTTTCATTCTAAAAAGGCACAAATTTGCTTTTCATGGCGACACAGTGTTCCTCCTGTGAAAGGCATAGTTGTGTCTTGGAAAGGGAAAAACGTATTTTTTTTCTTTCGTGAGAGGCACATGTTTGCTTCCATGAGTGGCATAATTGTGCCTCACGAAAAAATGAAATAACATGTTTTCTTCTTCCATGAGAGGCATAGATTTGCTTCCACAAAAGGCGCTCAAAAAGGGAAAAAAGAGGGGGGGGGATTTATGCTTCCGGCTCGGGTTTTTATCTTAGTTTTTTTGTGAAAAAGGTTTGTCAAAACCTATTAACATGTGATCTATTTTTAAAGTTTTCGATGTGGCAAATCCAATTGTGAAAACGGTTCGTGATTTGGACATAAGGTTTAAAAGATAAAATGTTTTGAATAAATGAATATAGAAAAAAAACTATGATACTGCGACAAGTGGCGATAGTGCGCCACTTGTCATAACCTGAAAGGTGGGAATGACCTTTGCCACGTGTATCCTTTTTTTTGAAGGGAAAGCCTCATGGCACTTTATTCATCTCTTGGCAAGGTTACATCAGATAGTACATGCGATAACAAAAAGTTTGGTGCTTCATCCACCCACTCAAAACTACTACCTTGCTCATAGCTATATCTAGCTAAAAATGTGCCAGATTGTTGGCTTCCCGCGGGCAATGCTGGAAAGAAATCGAAGGAATTCCATATGCTAAATCAAAGCAATCGATCAGAATAGGCGTGTAGGAGCTCCAGATGTCCGACTCACCCTTGAACGCCTCAACGAGCTCCAGGCAATCTGATTCCACAACGACTCTAGAGCAGCCTCGATCAAATAGCATCTTGAGACCTCGTTTGACAGCAAGAGCCTCCGCTGTTTGTGCATTCATCACATTCTGGAAGGGTTCAGCTACACCAGATAATGCCTCACCCTTGCAGTTTCTAAGAACAGCCGCGATTGCTCCACTCTCATCCTCAAAAAAAGAAGCATCAGTGTTGAGTTTGTAGTTTCCCGGTGAAGGTTTCTCCCACCTTGCTGTGGGTAACACTACTTTGGCCGGTTTCTCATGATTGATAGTAATCTCCTGGATAGCAAAAGCAGTGTGTACCGCGCTCTTTATATGAGTCCCCTTCACCGCTTCCCGTCGTTCGTACCAGATATACCAAGCTGCCACGGCGATCGTCTCCTGCAGTCCTAGCTGACCGAGGACTGGGGACTTCTTTAACGGGTTCGTGAGCAGTTCTTCTAACACCACCGAGCCCGATCGATCCACACAAAGCGCCAAGTTAATATCCTCTAACAGACCAAGTTTTCCCCACACATCTTTTGCACGTGTACAAGTGAAGATCAGGTGGCGAATGTCCTCCGGCCCCGACTTACAAACAGGACACTGAGGGTTAACCTTTATGTGTCTGTTGTTAAGGATACACATGCCCGGGACAGTGCCATGGAGGGCGCGCCAGACAAATTTTTTAACCTTGCTTGGTACTTGCAGCTTCCATAAGATGTCCCGCACAGGGTTCGTTCCTGCCGTACTAGCAGCTTCACCTCTCACTCTAGCACCATACTGGTGCTCCCACTCAATGTAATATGCAGATCTGACTGAAAAAGTATGTGATTTGGTTCCATTCCAGGCCACAAAGTCTTCCAACAATGGAGAAAGAGGAATTCTGAGAATTCTTTCAACATCAACAAGAAGAAAAATATGGCTTAGAAGGTCCTCATCCCATCCTTCTGTGTATCCTTAATTAGTGATTTCGCAGGGAAGCCTTGAGTCAAGGAAGCCCCACATGCGCCGGCTCAGGCGCAAGGGAGGCCACGACCTCGTTTCTTTGTTGTTTTTACCTTTTTGTTTTTTCTCCTTTTTCTTTCATTTATACTTTCAAATATTCTAAATAAATGTACTACACTACAAAAATTATTTTACATAAAACATTTGAAAAAAATGCTAACCAAGATTTTGAAAAAACTTAAATGTATAGAAATATATAAATTATGTGTGAAAAATTGCTCATATATTTAAAAAATGTTAATCAAGCATTTGAAAAGAATTGTTAAACAAGCTTTTGAAAAATGTCAATCAACCATTTGAAAAATGTTACCATGTACAGAAAACATATTGAACATTTATTCCAAAAATATTTAACGTGTATTTGAAAAATATTAATCAAGCATTTGAAAATGTTAAATGTGTATACAAAATGTTGATCATGTATTAAAAAAGTAGTTAATCTTGCATTGTATTCAAAAAATGTTAAACTTGCTTTGCAAATTGTTAATCATACATTTGAAAAATGTTAAATGTATATAGAAAAAATGTTGACCATGTATTAAATATTTTTAATCTTGCATTTATAAAATGTTAATCAAGCATATGAAAATTACTAAATGTGTGTAAAAATAAATGTTGACCACGCATTAAAAATATTAATCAACTATTAGTGTTTGAAAAATGTTAATCAAGCATTTGTAATTCCAGAGTGAAACTAATTCGAGGTGACAGTACTGGCCTTCATCCCTGAGAACCCTTAGTGTGGCCACATCCACAGGAAACCTTAATTACCATAGTTGTAACCTGCAGGGGACTATGGTGGTGGCGTGGGTGGCACAGAGTCTATCTAGAGTAGAACGTGTCTTGTACTCGGTTCTGCTTAGTGTAAACTTCAAGAGTGGCTCAAGTATTCAGATAACTAGATAACTCCCCCACGCGTTGCTGCGGAAATTCGTAGTTGGGTCAATGTTCATATAGCGAAGAAGAGTAGCTACTCTTCTTCTTGAAGCGGGGCGAAAGCCTGTTTCGAAAAGAAGAGTAGCTCGACTCAAAATATGAGAGATGAAAAATAAAACATGGATAAGTGATTACATATG